AACCAATGACAAATAATTAATTGCGCACACTTTGACGGGACGGGAGGTCCTGTCTATCTTTCCTTCAATATATATAAATATATATATGTGTGTCTGTCTGTCAGTCAGGACTCAGCTTGTGTGTGTGTGTGTGTGTGTCCTGTGAATCCTGTATCCATTTATAAACAGCACACAAATATGTCTGATGTGCGAGAGGCTTAGACATGGATAGAGAATGGGCATGAAGATGGGCATGAAGATGGGCATAGAGATGGCTATGGAGATGGGCATAGAGATGACTATGGAGATGGGTATCGCGATCCTACTTCGACCCCGTCACCAATTAACTTGGGCGTATTGTGTAAATAATGTGTTAGACATGGTTACACATTCATGTGCCGGCCATAGACACGTCGTTGGCATCGTCATCTCCGGATCTCCATCCACGGAACCCCCCATAGCTGACATACGATGATTGCACTTGGCGTTCTAATTGAAGAGCGAGACAGGAGCTGGCTGAGCCAACAGCCAGGAGACAGGACACAGGAGCTACAAGATATCCCACCTCCAACCTTTTTCGGGGCCGTTGACATTGATCCATTCCGATTAGACATTGAATTCTGATGCCATCGATGCTTGTTCGTAATTGCCATCAAATCGAGGGATAAAAAGCCAAAAAAGAAAAGGCTACAACGGTGCCAGCACTGTGGCAAAAATGTTTTCCCAGAAAATATATAAATTTTGAAAAAAATTAAACAAAAATTTTATATTTTTAGGTGGAAATGCCAATCGATTGGGAATTTAAATACGAGTTCAGCGATGTATTGCATTTTATAGATAGCCAACTATTTTCTTTTTTATGATTAGAGTTCTTATTGTTTTCTGATTAAAAATGCAGATCTGGATTTTTCCCAATAATACGATATTTTTGTTCATGTTTTTTCTCATAATATAGTTCATAATATAGAGAAAAAATTTTGACTGATTTCCACAGCTTACGAACTCACCTTTCTAGCCATGCCAATGTCTTGTTGGTTTTATAAAAACCAATTTTTAGCAAAATTTCGCATGTTTTCGTAATTTTTTGTGAAAAATTTTACAAAAAATTACCATTTTAGGTGTGAATGTAGTTTTCTTGGAAATTTAATTACGAGTTCAACGAGATATCACTTTCTATATTCGGACCATTAGTTCTTAAGTTATGAGTAAAATTCGGAATTTTTATTGATCAAAAATGAGATCAGGAATATTGGCAAAAATACGATATTTTCTTTATGTTTTTTTCTCATAACTTCACCAAAAATTGTCCTACAAGAAAATCACTAACTGATTTGAGCAGCTAACGACCTCACCTTTTCAACCATATCACTGCTTGGCTGATTTTTGGAAAAATAATTTTTGAACGAATTTTCACTTTTTTTGTAAGGGGTAACATCATCTTTTTTTTCGAAAAATGGCTAAAATTTCACATTTTAAACTGTGAATGCAGTTTTGTTGGAATTTTAATGACGAGTTCATCGATATATGACATTCTATACTCGGACTATGTTTGACTTTGTTGTGGGAAGAATTCTGAATGTTTTGGGGCAAAAATCAGGATTACGAGTTCTGACAGAAGAAGCGATCTTTTCTAACGGGTTTATGTCCATAACTTGGCCAAAACAAGAGGCACAGCTAAGATGAAGACTGTTTTGTAAAGCTAACGACCAGAACTAACTTTCCTCATCATTCGTTAGACGATTTTGGGAATTTCAATTTTCGGAAAAATTTTGAATTTTTGGTAAGGGGTCGACATCATCATCGACATCATCAAAATTTGCGAAAAACCTTAAAATTTGTACTTTTCAAGGTGTGAATGCAGTTTTGTTGGAAATCAAATTCCGAGCCTAGCGAGGTATGACATTCCATATTCGGACCATTATTGGCTGAGTAATGGGAAAAATACTACCCATTTTTGGGTGGAAATCTCCTTAAACCAAATTTCGCATTTTCGATAAGGGGTAACATCATCATCTTTTGTAAAAATGTCAAAAATCTTAAATTTTTAGGTGTGAAAGCAGTTTTCTTGGAAATTTAATTACGAACTCAGCGAGGTTTGGCAATCCACATTCCGACTATTATTTCGTTTGTTATAAACAAAATACTGAATATTTTTTCACAAAAATCAGAATGAGGCTTCTTTTTTGCTAGTGTAAGGCGAAGCCAAGTGGTGTCCTTCTTCTCGTGGCCTGACTTGTGCGCCATGCATGTGACGGCAGCTCAGCAGGATATTTTGTAAATCATTAGTCAACAAAATGCTGCTGATGGTGCGTGTGTGTGTGTTGGTGTGTTTGTGTGACTTTCCTGGCAAGTCTACAAGTGTGTGTGAGTGACGCCATTATTCTCCTCTTACCCCCCCGTGCCCCTTTGGAAAAAGTCCGAACTCGTGGGTTTATATTCAAGCAACATTCCTGGTCTGATGAGATGCGCCGCCTGCGCCAGATTGCCCACCCTTCCCCCAAGTTTCGCTGTTTCGAGTGCAGTCTGCCTGCCACCGATGTCATCAGCATTACGAGTGGGTGGCTCTTGGGCTGCTCGAAAAGTTGCAAATGCCACAAAAGTCCAGCCCCAACCTGGACAGAGCTACTAACTAAGGATTTATCAATAGAATTTAGTTCTGATTAAAGAAAGATCAAGGAAGTATCTTTAAGGCCCTTTTAAGTTCAAAAACTTCTCAGTGTTTTTGCCATTATAAAACCTGAAATTTTGGCTAATATTTGAATTTATTCTTTGAACTGGAAAAGTAGTTTATTCTTTTCAAAATAAAAGCCATATCTCAGTGCCCAAATTGCTGGGCGAGAAAATTCAGTGAGAAGGAAAGACTTGCTCAAGGCATGAAAATGCTGAAAACTTTTGGTGTGGAGGTGAACGTTAGTGGTGAGATGTTTTGCAGGGGGCGGGGGCGGTTGGTAAGAATGAGCGTAGGTCAAGGGAAAGAGGGGGTGGGGGGAGGTGTTGTTTTCTATTTTTTGGGCTGGTGGCGCGGCTAATGACGCCAACATTAGGCGAACGTTTAATGTATGTGCACGTAGCCAGGTCCATTCCACACACTGTCTCACTTTGCTTGCCTCTATCACTTTCTCTTCCTTTCTCTTTCCATCTCTTTCACATTCTCTCTCTCTCTCTCTCTCTCTGTTGCTTTCTCTCTTTTTCGCATAGCGCACACACTTACGTACGCATGAAAGTCAAGGCAGACAACGTCAGATGCTCGAGCATTGCATTACATAAGCGACGCAAAACTGTATGCTACACTTTTTGATGGCCACCCATCCATCCTGTCTGTGTGAGTGCTTATGTGAGGGTGTGTGTGGCTGTATGAGTGTGTTATTTCTGGCCATGGAAAACACTGAGGGAAATGAAGAGTGGTTGGGTGTTGGGCGGGGGGGGGGTGGGGTAAAAGGACAGCGGTTGAGGGTCGACAAGGATACGCACGGCACGCCACTCAAAAGCCATAAGCCCGGCAAATTAACATGCCCAAATTATGACAAAAGGAAAACGAGGCTAAAACAAAGGGCCCCAAAAACTAAGTCTGCAAAAATGGAAATGGAGGGCGGGTATTTTCCCAAAAAAAAAGGGGAAGAGATTTCTCCCTCTCTACCTCCGTAGACCGGAAAAGGCAAAAGTGAGATTAGAAAACTCTTCTTCTTAATAACATTCATCCAAATACTCTGTAAAAAAGTTAATATAGATTAACACGGATAGTTAGCCATAAATATATAAACTTTTTGAGCTATTTAAGTTTAAAATATATACAAATATTAACACTTTTTGGAAGAAAACCTTTTAAACAAGAACAGAAATCAAGATTTCAATCCTCCATCAAAATCCCCCAAAAATCCTAAACCAACTCCATGAATCCAAAAAAAAACAAGCATTGCCTTTCTTGGCGGGTAATTAAAATCTGTTTAAACCCTTATTTCCTGGCCGAGAATTTTGTAGGTTTTCGCAAAAGGTAGCTTCAAGGGCAGAGATTACTCATACGCCCCATAAACCGAAGCCAAACCTGAAACTGAAACTGAAACTGACTCACCGAAAACCAGCCGCACGACATATAACTGTCATAATCAGGGATGCGGACATGGTAGCCACCAAAACATCAACTGGAACATAATGGCCAAGTTTTTGGGCAGAATCGGGGGATAAAGTCCCCCCAACCCCACCTCAACTACCAACAAAAAGGGAACAGGCAGGAACCGCAGTCATAGTTTAATATCCATTTAACATGCTCGCATGTTGTTGCTTCTGCTTTTCACTGAGAAAAACATTTGCTTAGCAAAACAGTTTATAAATAAAGGGTTAAACATCTGCTTTCAGAAAAGGTAAATATAAGCTCCTGCTGTTTGTTTATGTTTGCATTCTATAAGCAATGAACCAAACACATTTTGTTTAACAAAAATTCAACATAATTGATCAGATTTAGGCGTGTCTTTACAGATAGTTTATTAACTCTTATTAAGAGAGAGTTAAAAATGACAACAAATTTCCTTTCAGTGCCGTTTGGTAAGTCGGGGAAAATTCCCAAAGTGATTATATTAATACAACATGAGCCACAAGTGTGTTGCATACATTGAGGCGTGCCGACTTGAATCCATGACAAAACTTTTGCCCCTATTGTATGCTGTGAGCGTGTGTGTGTTTGTGTGTGTGTATGAGTGTTGTACATATATCAGCAATGTGCGTGTGTGCCATTCATGGCATATGAAATATACATAAACCAACGAAGCCAACGAACCAACTCTAATAATAATAAAATAATAAAAACCAAAAAAACCAAACTTTTCAACCACACTTAAAAGTTGTTGGGTTGATTTTTTTCTTCTTGGCTTCTATTTCGGCGAAGATAGAAAAAGCTGCAACCAAGAAACTAAAAGAGCAATAGGTTATAGCAATTGCCATTGTCAAATATTCTGTGATTTTCCAGGCAGAAGAAGTCTGGAATTTTCTCTACTTTAAGATCCTTAAAAAAAATACACAGAACTTACCGCCACATTTAGATAGAAATTGATGAGCGTAACTCCAGCCAAGCAAACTGCAAAGAGAAAGAAAGAAAAACATATATATTAAAAATCTGAATAGTTTGCAGGATGCTTGTATACATTATTCTCATATCGCGTGTAAGCCGTGTATATACTTCAAGTCCCACAGCTGCTGCAGTTTTGGCCTTAATTTTCCAAATCAAACAAAATAAAAGAAAAGACGAGCGAGCAGCCACACGAGTGTAATTTGTCTATGTGTGTGTGTGTGTGTGTGAGCGAAGGTCATTCATGTTGCATCTCTAAATGATGCCACCCACTTCCACACCCAAACACTAAGATACTAAGAGAAAAAAAAACTAAAACACACACACATGCAGGGCGGTGTACCTAATGAACTAAATTTCCATCTTTCCACACAAGTTTTCAGTGCACTGTGAGAAATACTAAACTAAAATATTGTAATTTTTCAACTTTATTTTTCTCATTAAGTTTTTTAAGTTTTTAAAGACAAAAAATTAAAATAAAATCAATTTCTTTTGGGACTAAAATCATATAAAAATTCATTCTAAAATTCTCTAAAAAAAAACCATTTCTAAATCCAACAAAATATTCACAGATTTTACCCAAATTTTAGCCAATCTGCTTTTGCTGTGTATTAATCTTAGTGCCTTGTATTTGCCTTTGGTGTAGACGGGCGCTGTATGTTTTCTGCTCCAGCTGCCAGCTGCCCCCTTCATTCCATCCTTCCCTTCTTTCCTTCGCCTTTCTAGAAACAAACATCCACCCACCCATTGCCTTGCCCTTGCCTTGGAAAATCCCGAAAAGCAAAAAAAAAAGAGGCAACTGAAACTCAGCTGGCGTTCCCTGTTCGCTGTTTATCTCGCTCGCTGTGCACATTAACCTCTTTGTTAATCATTTACAAACAAATGCAAATAAAATAAAATACAGCAGCAGCCGCCCAGGTGAGGCGAAACTGAAGGTAGGGAGGCAAAGGCAAGAGGCAAGAGGTAACAGAGGTAACAGGTAACGAAGGCAGCAACAAACAGCGATGACGACGACGGCTATGCAAATAAAAAAGCTGGCAAATGAGCAGCGAAATTGCAAAAAAGGGCAGGCCATAATACAGAGGGGAAGGGCAGGCAGATATTCCGAGCGGGGAGGTGGGTTACGGCCTGGGATAAGCTCTCGAGCTTTACGGCATACACAAAATACAGGGCGAGCGTGCCACGCCCACACAGGATTTTGGTTAAAATACACAAAAAGAAAACTCAAAGGAAAGTTGAAGTATAAATTTCAAGAATTTTCCTCTTTTAAACTTAACTTTAGCCTTTTAAAATTTTCTCATTACGTAGAATTTAAGATAAGGACCAACAACCTACATTTCCTTTTTTGTGTACATTTTCCCCCATTTTCCTGGCCATTCGAAAAATGATTCCACAGTTGAAAAATTCATCTTGAATTGCTGAATAATTCAGGGAAACTTTTGTGACTCTTTTCACTGCAAATTGCATTTTGGTCTGGTCAAAAAAGCACTGCTCCTGTCCTGTGTTGACTTTTCAGAAAACTTTTAATCAATGGCTGGTTGGGCGGGCCTGGGCAAAAAGGGGGGTTTTCCACAGCGTTCCAATTTCCACAGCTGCTTTCATATGCAAAAGATACTCGACTTTATGTTGCTGGCACTGCCACTGCTACTGCTCGGCTTGTTCATAATTAGTTTGATGATGTTTGCAGTCAACCTACTTCCTCATTCGTTCCCACTTTCTTGGCCCCCCCCTCTGCGAACGCCCTTTTATATCCACCACTCCCTCCTTGGCTTCTGGCTTACTGCGTTGCCAAGGCGCAGGAGAAAAAAAAAAAAAACAAAAAGTGAAAGAAAAACATTCACTTCGCCTGGCCTAATGATATTTTAATTAAAACTATGCCGAACTTTCCAGAGGTAGCACTACTTTTATACCTCTTTTTTGGCTTCATTTTAGTGTCAATGACTAACAGAAATAAGTTTAATATATATAGCTTAACTTTTCATTTAAGATTCTTTAAGAATTTAAGATTTTTCCTGAGTATATTTCCTACTATAAAAAATGTAATACTATAACCTTAACTACATCATAACTAAGAGGTACTAAAAAATAAGTACTCATGTAAATAATCACTAAGGTACTTCACCGTCCGTCTGTCAATTGGTCATTCAGTCCTTTCTGTCATTTCGTCAGTTGGTCAATCAAGTGAAACAGCAGTTTGGGGGAAAACCTTTTGGCTTTTCACGCAACGCAACGGCGGCGGCGGCGGCGGCAGCGGCAGCTTTAATAAAATTGTTCACTTTTCCTCTGCCTGTGTGTGTTTTTTGGGCCTGATTCGATTTTCGTTGATTTCCCAGAAAATTCCACATTTCCCACAACCGAAAAGCCCCTCTCCCCCTGCCCCCCCCTTCCCACCGACTGCTTTTCCAAGCCAGTGCCTTGCGGCTTGGGTTTTTGTTGAATTTATTCGCTAGCCTCCTTGTTGCGGCGGCAATCTTTGATCAAATCGAAAATGAAAGCCATGAGATACTTCTGGCTGGCAGCTGAATACCTTGAGATACTTTCGTTCAAGTACTACTTGTATCTCATGGATAAACACGGTGAGTAGTAGTAATTACGATATGCACTTGGCTATTTATCCAATGGCCAGATATAGACACCGAACCCCTAACATGTTTTTAACATCTTAATTAGGGCAAGCTTAGGGTTTATCTAGGAAATTGAAAGAGGAAATCTATGAATAAACTAACTAATACTATGAATGTTATAAATCTTAGTTAGTAAGTAGATCTACTTTCATGGCAAATAGCAACAGTTGCAAGCTGCAAAGTGCAGAAATTTCCGGCCATCAAACATATCTGTTTCTGAGAGTTCCCCGGGTCGTATCTAATCTTGCCTGTCATGTATCCGCCACCCTTTTGCATTACCCACTCTTGCAACTCGCCCACCCCTTTTGTTGTGGCTCCCCTGCCTCGTTGATATCACAATGCCTCGGCCAGCAAACATTTATCAAGACACGCACAAAAATTACATTAAAAGTTCTATATTAATAATGTTAATGATAATGTAATAAGAGGTTACGAATTCCTTTGCTCTTTTTGATTGAAAGCCTCTAAGGCTCTACTTCCTCATCCTTCTTCTAAGTAAGATTTTCTCGCAGTGCAGGCATCAGGCGTCGCGACGTCCATGCTGTCAACGCCATGCCTCCTAACGGTTTATTTGCAAAGCGTTCAAACTGTCAAAATGGCGCGCGGTGCGCGCTGGCCATAAAAAAAAAAAAAAAGGAAAAACCTAAACCAAAACCCCAAAACAGAAACAGAAACGGGGAAGGAGGCACAGAGGAATGGGGGAAACGGCAATGCCAACGACGTCAGTGAGTCAATAATGTAATTTTCTCGTTTGATATTTCGACTACATACACAGAGAGAGAGAGAGTGGTGGGGAAATGAATGAGGAAATGAGTTGAAGGCGGGCCATTAAACGAACCCAGCCAGCATTCCTCGCAAGCAAGCTAAACGAGGTTAAAGGTCGCCAACAGAGTCTCCAAACACTTGCATCCCATCCTAACCAAGCCAATTAGTTTTTAAACTTAAAGCATTTCCACCAGAACTCTATAAATTTACAAAAAATCCATACACAGTTTGCTGTGAATGGCCTGTCAATCAGTGCTGATTACATGTACACATCCACATCGAAATAAGAGTTCAAAACAGTTAAAGACAAATTTCCATTCACCCTCAAATATTTCGGCACATTTTGTATCACAAAAACAAAAAGAAAACAATAAACACTTTATTAACGAAAGGATTCGTTTTAAGGAATAGCGCATCTCAGGACGGGAAAACATGTCGTTATCGAAGCAATCAATTGATCTCAAGCCACAAGCTAGTCCACTCGCCTATGGGAAGTTGAAGGATCTGGACGAGATGGATCCCATCAATTTAGATGTACCAAATCGACAGATGGGTTTCTCTAGTTCCATTGTGGACCATCAAGTGGACGAGAGCATAGGTGAGCTTAGTTTGTCTGATAAAAAAAAAGCGATTCTCATTGATAAAAAAGAAAACACAACCTTAGGCGAACTGCAGCGGATTTTCGAAAGCCTAGCACCGTCACCTTCTCCGGTTCGAGAGCTGCCCAACAACAGTCTACGGAATATTAACAAATCCGATCCGGTATTCTATGGCTGGGATGAGGCACCAGCGGGACGAATATCAAGGGGCCAAATTAAGAGAACCCATACTCGTAATCCCATCTTAAACCCTGAGGAAACTGAGCTGGAAATTGAGGAAAAACCCCAACAGGCATTGCTGGCTATCGAAAACCAGACTCTTGATCTTCCAGAAGACGAAATGAATGCGAAAACCCGTCTGCTGGTCATCAAGTTCTTTAATCTAATGCATGCGAAGCTATGGCGACGCCGGAGGTCAGAGGTCGGGGATTTGCACACGCTTGTTCGCAAATACCAGGCTCATGTGAGTTAACAAGAAATATCCAAATAAGAACTTCTTTAAAATATTATATTTTCTACAACTATTATTCACCTTAGGCTGCTCGCACCCAAACCGAGCTGTTAACCCGAAACCAGATGATTTGCTTAGAGCAACGACGTGGCGAACAGCTGTCTCATCAGCTGATGCGGGCCATGAGTCGCATCCGCATGACCATGGAAAGTTGCGCCGAACTGGACAATGAGCTGCAGCAGCTGAAGATGCGGGAGGCGTTTTTGAACAGCGAACTGGCGTCCAAGTCGCAGGAATGTTCAAATTTCGCTGAAATGCTAGAAATCTGCCGTTCCGAAATGTTTCGCGAATTGGAAAATTATCGTGAAAATGCTGCCGAGTTGGCCAAACAACAGAAACGAGCCTTCGATTTGGAGCATGAAAATGCCCAGCTGGAGGATCAGCTGCTCACAATCAAGGATCAGTTTGCCCTACAGAATGATCAGATGTCGGTGGCTCTGGCCGAGAAACAGGAACAACTGAACACCGCCTACGAGACTCTGAAGCGATGCGAACAAGAACTGGCCAAGCTGGAGTTGTAAGTTTTAAAAGTCTTATCAAAAAGACAAGATCCTTAACCTATTTTACCTAGAAAATACAAAGAGGCTCTGCGCCAGAACGAGATCGATGAGGATTTGCAAAAGGAGATTTCGAATCTAAAGAAGAGCATGGGCTTCGCACGCTATATGATCTTCTATCTGACGGAACGTGAATGGGGCTACTGTCAAGGAGCTTTCCAAGGTTACGTATACCACATGGTGGCCGAAACACTAGACTGCCTGGCTCCCGCATTTGCCACACCACCGATGGCTGATAATTTACTTCGAATAGCGATAGCCGCCGTATTCCTACTTATTGCCATGTATTAACTTCATTCGATGATGAGGGGAAAATGATCAAGAGAGTCTTTTCCATTGTTTTGGAGTTTTTAAAAGAGTCGAGTCGAAAAGGGGTCAATGGGGATATTGTGAGAATTTTCATTTACGCTCACTAAAAACATTTCGTTTTTCTTTTTTGACATAGTATTTCACAAGCTAAACCAGAAAAATTCGAATAAAAAATTTCCCCTAGCCTGAATTTAAGTTTCTTGATAACAAAATGATATTTAACAAAAAACGAATTTGTATTCCTAACTGCTAGACTTTAAATAACAGTAATAATAAAGTTATAAGAACGCAAAATGATACGAACATTGGGCAAATAAAACTTAATGTGTGTGCATGTCCATATCCCATTTGTATTTTCCACCTCAATTGATTGCAATATCTGAATGTGACTGTCCAAATCCATTATTGTTCGGTTTGCGGTCGACCGCGAAATACACAATTCATTCTAATTTCGAAATGGTGTTCAAACACGATTGACAGCTTGGCAGTGAATTACTTGACAGAAAGTTCAGACCATAGGGTTGTGGGTGGTCAATGTAATACCCAGTAATTCTATTCGATTTTAGCCATAACATATATACAAAGTAATTCGGTTTTTATGGCCTAAAAGATGGAAGGTTTCTGCTTACTAACCATAACCCAATAAATTTTTAATACAAAAAAGAAACTATCAATAAAAACCCTATTCATTATGAATAATTTCATTGGTTCTTCTCTATTTTGTAACGAATAAAAGTGCGGAAGAGCCTTAAGCAAAAATTACGCATACGCCGCGTGCACCGCGTTCGACAACGATTGCCATTCATTGGAGGGGCCCCAATGTCATCCGAATTTACTGAATTGCCGTGTATTACTGACTGAATCGCACTGAATCAACTCAAGCGAGGTGAACTGAGTCGTAGGCACAAAAGGCCTTAACTCGATAAATGCATAATACAATGCGAACCATAATTGTCGCAATGGGTGTGAAAATGCGAATGAAAATGGTGGATATACATATGAGGGGTATTGTGTTCTGTCTCAACCAAATGGATATGACAAAATGGAACATTAATTAAACAAACTAATCTGTAATTGGATATGTAATTCGGTTCTCTTCTTATCGGTGATATGAAAACTACGAATATCAAGCAAAACATTGGACTTTTGGGTGCCATTTTTCTCTATATTTAGAATCAAAACAAAACGCTGTTCTCTATACCCCGCAAACAGAACAAAATTGTGTTTGCAACGTTTTTATCTCTTGCAAGCTATAGTAATCCTCGGCGATTTTAGATTATTTATGATAATTCAAGTTTATTTACTGCATACAAGACCATAAATTGTTACCAAGCAATTTTCATATGAAAGATAACACTGTTTTCCGGAACTGGGCAAACATTTATTATCTATTACAAAATGTGCCATGTGGGTGGTTTCCCTTTTTAATTCCTTATAATTCATGAATATATGTATATTCTAAAAATCTTAAACTAAAATTCTATATAGAAAGACTTTGTTTGTGAATATAGTTTATAATAATAAAATTATGACTCATCCGGCTTATGTATATAAATCTAAAATTTCCAGAAATATGATACTGATAATGAAAATGTTTTTAAGTTTAAAACATGAGAAATACACAGAGAAAATAAATAACAAAAAACAAAATAAATAGCAATGAAATAGTAGACCGTTTTTTGTAGTGTACTGATCATAGTTGTTGGTTTTAGGCTCAAGTGTTTAACTTACGTATTTAATTAATTGGCTTCGGCTTTTGTTGTTTTGTTTTTCGTTACCTATTTTTATTTGTTATTTGTGTTTATTTATATTTTTGTTTGTTTTTTTCCCGCCTTGCAAATTTCAGTTTGAAGAGCATTGCACGATTTACAGTTTTGATCAGTCGGCCTCACTCTCTCTCTCATTCTTTCTGCTCTCTCTCCTTTCTCGCATTCCCTCGTTTTCACAACAGGTGACAAACGAACGTTTCTTCTTGCACTTTTTTTGCATTCATCACTTGTCACAAACTAAACGTCACTGCAAAAAAACACCGCGATCAGAATATTTATTCGCACATTTACAAAAAAAAAGAAAAGAAAACCAAAAAAATAAAACGAAGAGCCCAGAACACAATGAAAAACTCAACCTGTGCGGCAAACGAAACTAAAACCGAAATCAAAACGAAACCGCAAAACACGTTGCTTTCTCCCTCTGTTACTCTCTATTTTCTGTCCACTCTCCCTCTCGATGTTTTTTCCCTGTTTATCGCGGATTATATTATGCGAGCGGTACTAACGGGAAAAGCTCCGGTGGACGACCACTGACCAACTGAGAACGGAGAGCCAGCAGCGATGGAGAACTAGGCACTCGAAACGGAGAGAGCGCGTTTATCTTAAGTACAGTGGGCACTCACAACGGCTAATTACAGATAATAATTAATATTCCAAAATATTTTTAAAATTTTAAATATTGACATAAAATATATATTTAATATAATGATCTTCTGTTAATTTCTCCTAATCCTTTCATCAACTTAACCAATAACTACTGTATTGGCACTCTCTGTTGCATATCGTCTCCTTTTCATCGGCTCCCCATCACTCCATCCCTTTCGCTCCCGCTCTGCGTGGGTGCTGATCGTGCGAGCGGGAGAACGATTGCAAATATGATTATTATTGTTCTTTCGCCTGTTTCCCCCTCACCGTTACCCGAACCAAACGAAAGTGCGTATGTGTTAGTAGGATGAGTGTGCGACGGCGGTCGCTGTAACGGTTTGTTTGTTATTTTTTGTATTATAGCTTTATTGCACAATCCGATGCCACCCACCGCCCAACTGGCCCGCCCCTTTAACTCGGTTGCAGGGCAAACAAACAAAAGGTAATGGAATAGGTAGCGGGAGAAGGGGAAGAAAGCTACTGATCACCACACTTGCCACAAAAACTGCGCCAATGCAGTACAGTAAAGCCTCTTAAATGCAGTTCACAATTATTACAGAGGAAAATATGGAAAGAACTATATTGAATTCCTTACTGAAATCTGACTTAAAACATAAAAAAATTATAATGACTTTCTGATATGACTCATTTTGCTAGCTTAGTGAATGAGTTCGTTAGTGCAGTCTTAAATAATTATTTAAGATTTAAATAATCATTTGTGAGTCATTCATAGCAGTCTACTTTTTAAGTTTTTCATATAATTAACATATTTTTACATAAATACATTACTTTAAGTGTACTATTTTGTTTTCTTTCAGTGCACATTAGCTGCGTTGACGTTGGCAGAGGGCGAAACAAGTGGCTACTGTGTGTGCGAATGAGAAAGAACGAGACCAGGTAACAATGGGTGTGAGTGAGAAAGGACGTGCAAATTTTTGTTTGCTCTGCCGACGTCGTTTTTTGCGTGTGTAAATTTCAGTGCTTCAATTTTATGTGCGTTTCTCTCCTCTCTCCACCTCCAGCTTCTCCTCCGACGCTGCCTTATCATCTGCCTTCTCCTCCCCTTCTTTTCATTCGTGTTTGCGTCGGCGTGCGCGCAAGTAAATTTCTTCTAATTTAATATTTTGTTTACATTATTTATTCATTTACTTATGTATTTGCGTAGCTTCCTCTTCGCGCGCTTGTTTGTTTATGTATTTCACCTGGTCCTTCTCCTCCTTCTCTACTTTATCGCCCCCCTATTTCCCCTCTTCCCAGCCTCATGGCCAAGTTTACGTTTTGGTAAATCATTTACAATTCAGACCATGATCGCTTTTCAAAAACCCCCTTTTCGAAATATCAACAATTATGAATTTCAATTACGGTAAAGAAAAAACAATTTTTATATGAATAAAAGCTACATATATGCATTTATGATGCCGCTTAGAGAAAATAATATTTATAAATTATTACTTTGAATGATTAATTCTGACTTTCTACTTATTAACTCTTAGCAGAAAACGTATCACTAAGTTTACATAATTTAAATTCTTAAATTGCATTTAGGCTTAAAACAAAATAAATAAATAAAAATTAGGTACTCATATTTCTTTTCCTTTAAGAATCAAAAGGTTTAACTGCAGTCTTTTTCTCGACAAAAATGAATAGTTATTATAAAATAAAGTAGATCCGTTAATGTGCCCTAACACCCACTGTAGTTTATTGGCACTTTTTGTAGCCTTGCAGGATGTTAGCTTAAATGCGGCGCCTAAAAGCGGGCTTTTAAAACTAATTTGCCTTTGCAACCCCCACAGACACGGCACAAAACTTTTGAATATGCAAATCAACAAGAAATACGCATTTTTCGCAATGCTCCTCTTACCTTTGATTCTCCCCTCGCCTCTTTCGACACTTTTCCGCTTTTTCCTCTCTTTTCAAGCTTCCTTCGCGTCTGTCTGTCGCTGTGCTTGTGTTTGTTTGACTTTGATTCCGTTTTGTTGATTTGTTGTTGCTGCTTTTTGGTTTCTGTTTTTATTCTTCTCTATCTTTTCCTCTTTTTGTTTTGTTTTTTTTTTTTCACTTTAAAAAACATACACCGCAAAAAAATTAAAGTTGTTTACCTCGCGCGAATATCAGAAATTGTCAGGAAGCCAAATCACAAAAAAAAGGCAAACAAGAGCGCAAGGCAAAAAGGAGTGACTTAAAGCGCGTGTTGCGCTAACTTTTTTTTGGTTTCTAAAACGAAGGACTTTTGTTTTGCGCTATTTGTTTTGATTTTTGTCTGTGGCTTTTATATATTTCCTAATTTTAATTAACACCGCTTGCGTTTTTTTTTACCCGGAGTTTTAACCGTTTCTTAATTTGTTTGTTTTTATTTTGTCTGTTGTTGTTGGTTCCCGGAGCACAAATGAAAATCGCGTCCGTTTCGCACGAGTATGAAGAATGGTGTGGCCAGCAGGCGGCAGTATGACCATAGCTTAAATCTGGAAAACTGGGAACTTATAGCACAGACACATGCCCTAGCAGGGTCACAACCCAAATTTGGCGGTAACATTTTTATGAATTTTGTGCTGCTGTTTATTTTTTCCTAACGTTTTAATGCAGGAGTAAATTTTCCTAATACCTACATTACTATTGCTAGAAGAATAACATCAGGAATATAAAGTGGTAATAGTATAATAAGGAACATTTCTAACAGCAAGTAAGCAAGGACTCAACCCCAATATAAGAGTATATTTAAGGACTTTTTTCTCTTCAAAGCTTCAAAGTTCAGAGCTTAATTCCCGGGATAAAGTAGTCTAAAGGGAAATTAATGCTTTTAACCTGGGAATGTTTTGCTTGCACAAAGGAAGATATTATTATATATACATTTCTCCTTTATAATTGTTATTAGTTTTGTTTTTTAGCAATAATGTTGCTTTATTTATTTGTGATTCAAAACAAATTCAATAAGATTTGCAAAGTTTTGCTGCGTTTATCAATGTCTATATTATGAAATGCATTATAAGGTATTAGTGATAAACAAATAAATAATTATATTAATAATAAACTAATGAGCTAACGAAATTCAAATTGCCCGCGCTGAAAGCTTTTCCGAAATAAATCTGGCAACTATGTTGTTGGGCACCTGCCAATCGATAGCCGCAGTCAGCTGTTTCATTTACTTATCGTTTCGCTTGCACAACAATTCTTCGGCATTTTTTCAACATTTTACTGATTTTTCATAAATTTACTGAAACAAAATGCGTCTGACAAATGTTCTATTCAAGAAAGTGAAGAGCAAGTAAGTAATTTTACTTTTTAACTAGGCTTAATTGATAACATCTACCGTTTTTCAGGCGAATCATGGTTGTGCTGGAAAGTGTGGTCAGTGGACACCAATATAATGCCTTCCGCGATCGTTTGGCTGAGAAATTGGAGATAATTCGCTTCGATCCATACAGTAAGTATTGCCTACAAATATTGCGCTCAAAATTATGGCACATATAAATATATATCTCACAGTTTCTCTTAATATAAGAGATTTTTATTATTAAACATTACTTTGAAGTTATATCAACAAATTCCTTTGAAATGTATTGCTTTTATTCGCTAATTTATTATTATATCTTAATCATAAGCCTCACATATGCATTACACTAATTTGAATTACAATTTTCTCTTTTTCCAGTTCAACAGGAAAGTCTCTACCGCGAACGCAAGAAAATCCGCAGCGCATAAAGAAAATCCCTTTGCTTTTTTTAATTTTCCCACATATAGTTAGTGCAAATAAAAGATAAAACAAGATTTAAACAAAACGATATATATATTACATATGTGAATGGTTTTCCAGCTTGGATTACAAACAAAAAAAAAACAAATCCATGGGACTTATAGGTGACTTGAGCTTGGAGGTGAACTCTACGACATGCTTTTGGTTTCCTTTGGATTTTCTTATTTTGGATTTTGAATTGACTCTTACATATTATATTAGATTTCTGCTCAAACACCTTAAAGATCTTTTGAAATTTCTCATAGAATTCCTAACATTTTGTAATACTCTAAACTCCTAATGATCTCCAGCTATCTCCTCTTGATTTTACACCTTAAATGGCTTCTCGGTCATTAGAAGACCCTTTTCCCACAGCGCAGTGACTACTTCCACTTTTCGAGCCGTCGTTTCCAATGGCAACTGGTTGACTTCGAGGTAAAATGGATAGGCAGATATGAGCAGTTCAACGGCAGGCACTTCCTCGGGTAGGATCTCCATGAAAATGGGCTCGTATTTGCAGTACTCAAGGGCATTATCAATATGATGATAGATCCTCACGCTGCCATCTTCCTCAGTCACGAGACGCAGGATATTGGCGCGCAGCAAACGCACCGATGTCTTGCTATCGAACTCGTAATCCCAGATGCAGTTACCCTGTTCGTCAGTGCTATTCCGGGATCCGAAGACAGTGCGAATCTTCTCTTCTGGCAAAAGGGTCGGTGGCAATGCCTCGTGCTGGAACTTTTTGGCCATCTGATCTACAGCTTGATCAATATCATCAGCAGTGGGCTTCAAATATTTAGCCACCATCATCTGGACATTCTCCACCAGTTGATCGCGAGTTTTGCTTTTATTGGATTTCTGTGCCTCGCCCAAAACATGAAAAGTTTGCAGCGGCAAGCCGAGACGTAATGAAAGATTATTTTCCACGGCCTTCTTAAGAACAATGGGTACAAGTTTCTCGAGAAGATTGGCATAGGCCTGCTGTTGATACACACTCAAGGTGATGTGCAACGAGTGCTGTTCTTCCTCGGTAATGGCCTGATGGACGGTGCCTCTGGGGAAATATAGAACATCGCCGGCTTCAAGGACTTCATCAAGCAAAGGCTCGCCCAACTCCTCTTGATCATAATTGCCCGATGAGAATCTGGCCAGCTGATCCGATTTCTTGGGCGGCTCATACAAACGCCAGCGCTTGCGTCCCTCCACTTGGACAACGAAGGCCTCAATATCATCGTAATGTGGGGCAAAACCTTGGCTATTTGGTGGCGTCAAGTAGACATTTGCCCCGACCAAGCAATGGAAGAACTCCTGCAGTATGCTGCATACCTGCCGCAATCCCGGCAGATATGTTGATGGATTCAGTATACGAATGCTGCAGCCCTCGGAGTACAAGGCCCAAACAGTTGGTGGAGTTGCCCTGCCCTCGGGATTTAGAGTTTCACGCTTGCCATTCTTATAGCTGGTTACATCCAGGTTGATGGTGAAGTCCAGACGATGGCGAATCAGCATTTCATCTATCATCTTGAAGGATATGAGATCGCTGTAGTACTTAGGGTTCTTACGCTGCACCAGGCAGGCGTTCTTCTCCCAAAAGTCGTTGAAAAAATGATCTGTTTTAACGGGATTGATGATCCACTTCAGAATCCGGAGACCCTCGTCGATGCTGTCGGCTTTGTGAATTTCTATTGGCAAGGTTGTTTGCTTCACTTGATTGCTACCGTCCTCGTCTTCTGGCACTTCCCGTTTAATTTTTGGGCTTTTGGCAGGATTGTCTTTTTTGGGTGGCTGTGGACAAGAGTTGGCAGCTCCAGCCGGCAATGATTTCCGTTTTTCTGGTAGAGGACAAGATTTGGCTGGACCACTACGGACTGGGGACTTATTGGAAGACCCCGAGGCTCCACTCTTAGCTGCTGGCAGGGATTTTCGCACCAAAGGACATGCCAGAGCCTCTCCATTCACCTGAATTGGCGAAGTCTTTTCCAATCCCTGACTACGGCGTTGTTTGCGATTGGCTGCGGTGGCTCCTTGGGCGGATTCCTTGGCCACCTTAGGAGCTTTATTATTATTGCCATCTGCTGGTGGTGAAACCTCAGCTTGATGACGCCTTTTACGATCCGTGGGCCTGGCTGCCTTCGATTTGCCCTTCGTAGATGTGGCTTCTTCCGGTGAAGATGGGCTAGATTCTCCATCTGATTCGCCAGCTCGCTCGAATTCGGTGGTCACGTAGTCCTCCAACATTTTAAGCCTTTCTTTCTGCTGTTTGGATAGATTGGAGCTTGGATTAAGTAGCATATCGACATCGTCCGTATTGATATCTGACGATTTGGGAGTTTTCTTGGCTTTAGCTGTACCGTTAGTTGGGCTCTTGGGCTTTTTGCGACTGCCTTGAGCTTCCGCACCCGAAGATGACGCCGCTTTTGGCATTTTTCGGATGTTTTTCAGACACAAATAAAGTTTTACGAACGGGTATTGAAAGCAGTAATGCACCTACATATAAAACAAAACGATTTACTGAATATTGGTATGTTTTGGCACAAAACTGAAGATATTTGAAATGTCTTCGCACGTGCTTACTTATACAGCTATTTACGCCGGCGGCTTATCGATTGCTCGATAGATTTCTAATAGCAAAAGCTAAAGAAGTTGCCAGACAGATGAGGAATATTGATAATTGGATAGCGCATTGATTTGCTTTAAAAATAATGTATTCGTTTGAGATTTGAAAGAAGAAATTGTATTATATGTTTATTGTCAGTTTAGCAAATATTTGATTATTTTCATTGTAGTAGCTATTAATTATTTTCTGCCGGCCTGGTAACATTGTTTCAATCGCTTTTCGATAGCCACAACCAGCTGATTTTACCGGCAGATTTGTTAAATTGCGAAATCTTATTGTTCTTGATTATATTACAAAAATGTCCGATTCGGGTGCGGAAAATACCGAAAAAGATGCCGAACAAGAGCAACCGGAAGATGTTGATTCCGCTAAGCTGCTGGAAACCACCGCTGCCCTTGAGGAGGACGAGGAACTTGCAAATATCGTGACCGCCGAGGAGTATTTAATGCGCAAGGATGTAGTCCTTCTGGAATACGAGAAACAAATGTTTCTTGATCAGGTTCAGGCTGATGGTCTTCTGGTTTGTGCCAAGTAAGACTAGTGAACACTAGCTTAATGCCAGATTTATTTCGATTTTTAATTCCTATAGGGGTCTGAGCTATGAGCGAGTTTTAATGAATATTTTGAAGGCTTACAGTGATGCTGGGAATCTGGTGCTGGTAATCAACAGTTCCGACTGGGAAGAGCAATATTACAAATCAAAATTGGAAGCCAAATACGTCCACGAAGTGGCCAACACGGCCACCGAAAGGTAAGACTATAATCCTTACGGCGAAAAGCAAAAAACAAATATAATCATTAAACATCTTATAAACGAAAATATATAGCTTTCCACTTAAGAAATGTTTAAAGGATCCCTGATATTTATACAGATATATCCCAGCAATAAACCTACAGGTTTAATTGCTTTCCTCTCACTCTTTTTAGTGATCTTAAACTAACCTTTAAATTGAAATTTAATTGATCCTTTCTTTGTCTAGGGAACGAGTTTATCTGGAAGGCGGCCTACAGTTTATCAGCACCCGCATCCTGGTAGTGGATCTACTGAAGCAGCGTATCCCCATTGAGCTGATCAGCGGTATTATTGTCCTGCGGGCCCACACCATCATTGAGAGTTGCCAGGAGGCGTTCGCCCTGCGATTGTATAGGCAAAAGAACAAAACTGGATTTATCAAGGCCTTCTCCAGCAGTCCGGAAGCCTTCACCATTGGCTACTCGCACGTGGAGCGCACCATGCGCAATCTGTTCGTGAAGAATTTGTATATATGGCCACGATTCCATGCCACCGTTCGTGGCGCTTTGCATCCGTGGCAGACACAAACGATCGAGCTGCATGTTCCACTTAGCCAGACCATGACTGCCATTCAAACGCACATTCTGGACATCATGAACTTTCTGGTGCGGGAGATTAAGCGGATCAATCGTACTGTTGACATGGAAGCTGTTACCGTGGAGAACTGTGTAACCAAGAAATTTCATAAGATCCTGCAGGCGCAGTTGGATTGTATTTGGCACCAGCTGAATTCGCAGACCAAGTTAATAGTGGCGGACCTCAAAATTCTGCGCAGTTTGATAATGTAAGTTGCAGTTTTATATGTTTTTTTTTTAATTAACCTGATTAACTTTGATAGCTCCACCATGTACCATGATGCAGTAGGTGCCTATGCCTTGATGAAACGCTATCGGAGTAAGGAATATGCATTGAGTAACTCAGGATGGACTTTGCTAGATGCCGCCGAGCAGATCTTTACGCTTTCCAGGCAGCGTGTTTTCAATGGTCAACAGGGTAAGACTATCAAATGAAAAGCAATGCTTCCACTTGAATTCCTTTAATCATGCAGAATTTGAGCCTGAACCCTGTCCGAAATGGCATGCTCTCACGGAACTGCTAACCCAGGATATACCCGGTGACATGCGCCGTAGTAAACGTACGGAGCAACCAAAAGTGTTGATCCTCTGCCAAGATGCACGCACCTGCCACCAGTTGAAACAATATCTAACGCAAGGCGGGCCACGTTTTCTACTCCAACAGGCACTGCATCATGAAGTGCCTGTAGGCAAACTAAGTGACAAATATGCTAAGGAAAGCCAATCTCAAGGAGCTCCTTCAAAGGAGCACTCCACTAAAAAGGAGCCAGTCAAAGAGGAAGCTTCTAGTTCTCAGCCACCATCTGCTGGGATGGATGAATTGGCTCAGCTTTTAAGTGAAGCAGAGGTAGAAGGTCAGTACTACGAGGAAAGCTACATGCTAACCATGACACAGCCTGTACAGCTAGAGCCTATGTCGGATGTTAAACCCGATTTGGATGCCTCTATTTTTGAAACTATACCGGAATTAGAACAATTTGATGTAACAGCAGCACTGGCATCGGTGCCTCATCAACCGTATATATGCTTGCAGACTTTTAAAACGGAGAGAGAAGGCTCCATGGCCCTGGAGCACATGCTGGAGCAACTTCAGCCACAATACGTTGTTATGTACAATACGAATGTGACGGCCATTCGGCAATTGGAAGTCTTTGAAGCTAGGCGACGTTTACCGCCTGCGGAGAGGATGAGAGTATACTTCTTGATCCATGCACGCAGTGTAGAAGAGCAGGCATATCTGACCAGTTTGCGTCGAGAGAAGGCGGCCTTTGAATTGATTATCGACACGAAAAGTGTAAGTTATGCAAATTTTGTAGATTATTGCATCAGAATTTCACTATTATCTTATAGAAAATGGTGATACCCGAGTATCAGGATGGCAAGACCGATGAAGCCTTCACGCTATATAAGAACTACGATGATGAGTTAACGAATGAGAATACCAAGAGTCGTCAGGCAGGTGGCCAAGCGCCACAGACACCAAAAGAGACGCCCAAAGTGATTGTGGACATGCGTGAGTTTCGCTCGGATCTGCCATGTTTGATTCACAAGCGTGGCCTGGAGGTGCTACCTTTGACCATTACGATTGGTGATTATATACTCACCCCGGATGTATGTGTGGAAAGAAAGTCAATCTCAGATTTGATTGGCTCTCTGAATTCCGGAAGATTGTACAATCAATGTGTTCAGATGCAACGACATTATGCTAAGCCCATTCTGCTGATCGAATTCGATCAGAATAAACCCTTTCATCTTCAGGGAAAATTCATGCTATCCCAGCAGACGAGTATGGCCAATGCGGATATTGTACAGAAACTGCAACTTCTAACGCTTCATTTTCCAAAACTTCGACTCATTTGGTCACCGAGTCCATATGCCACTGCCCAGCTATTTGAAGAGTTGAAACTGGGTAAACCCGAACCGGATCCCCAAAAGGCAGTGGCATTGGGCAGCGATGAGCCAACGGCGGGTGAGCAATTGCATTTCAACAGCGGCATCTACGATTTCCTGCTACGTCTGCCCGGTGTACAGACTCGAAATATACACGGCCTTCTCCGGAAGGGTGGCAGCCTGCGGCAATTGTTGCTGCGTAGCCAAAAGGAGCTGGAGGAATTGCTGCAATCGCAGCAGAGCGCCAAGCTGCTGTACGATATCCTGCATGTGGCCCATTTGCCAGAGAAGGACGAGGTGGCCGGCTCGACGGCGCTGCTGGCAGCTGGCAAGCAATTTGGCGCAGGATCGCATAATCGCTTCAGGAAGGCAGCTGCTGAGTCGAGAAGGGGTCGTCGATAGATTGCAGTAAAGGGGGAGACAAAATTTAATGTATGTCCGTACTTTTTGTTTAACCAGAACCTTATATATATTATAATTAAATTAATTACAAATTTGTTTATTAATAGATTCAAAAAGTGGAAGCTGGAGTTGGAACAACCAGGAGCAGGAGCCTGCTGTCGAGTGCCGAGCAAACAAAAAGCGGGAAATTATGGAAATTTTTTAAACGTTGCAATTAAGTCAACTGGGGAATGGGATGTGGATGCAGATGCAGGCAGATGCGAATGCAGTTGAGGATGCAGTGGACTGTCTGGCCGTCAGACAACGTTGACAAACGGGAAAAGCACTGACCGCTGGGGGGTTGCGTCTGCAAACTGTGACAGCAGCCGTGCCGCCATCAGGGATGAGCGCTTGAAAATCAATTTTCAATAAATTTTTAATTGCCTCCCTCTCTCACTGGCCATCTGACCCATCCAACCATCCCAAAGGATTTCCCCTCGAACAGAACACCTGCAACATTAACAGCCAGACCTTGTGATACATGCAGCTATAAACGGAATTTTTTATAAACAATTTATTGGCCAAAGAGGCCAGTCATAAGATGTAAACTAACTTGATTAAGTAAAAAGAGATTTTCTTTTTTAAAAAGTTGATATGCATATAGGCTTTTCTTGAATAGACTTCTATTACAAACTGTTCAACCACTCTTTGAAATTAACTGATGAAAGCTTTAACTTTAATACAAGTGATCTAGCGTAGTTAAAAGTGAACGAAAAACAACTCTTAGAGTAAACTCTAAACATTAGGCCCATCCATTGCACATCCAAAATCCTACGCAGATTCAGTGCATAATTTCGAATCCCTCAATTGGTTGCCAACTGAAATGACGCTAAGCGAGGTAATTGGCATTCAGATTGAAATGAAGTGGAATGATGCGTATTCGAGGAGGGTTCCGAAAAAGGAGAGCGTAGAACGTTGCATTAGGGGCATGGGGCATGGGGCACTTATGTCCTAATATTGATTGCTCATTAAGTGGGGAAATGCCAAACTAAGTTATTGAATGTTAGTTTGAAACTAGTTTTATATTCGAATATAGTTTTCATAGTTGAGAAAATTTAGAAAGTAGATCAAAGAAGTAATGTCAAGTAATATCAAATTTGTAATCTGTAAAATATATATAAACAGATTTGATTTGCTTATAAAAAAGGTTTTAGATCAAATCTTTCATCCTTTCTGAGTTCTTTTAAGTTAAATTTCATATTCTAAAATATTTTATAAATATTTTCTAGGTTATAAACTTACCTTTCAGGGCATCCATAGTTCAATATGATTCCATCCGCCAGTTTTCCTTTTCATGTTTGCTTTGGCTCTCGCTTTTTGTTGCGGCTCATTGGGCAAAGCGCGCTTAGAGCGTGTTTCTGATTGTTGGCATTATCTCCGGGTCCGGTGGCCACCTCCGCCGGAATGGAGAAGGGGGATTTCCCCACACCCACACAGTAAATGTGTGTGGGAGTGAATGCTGCATGCACTGAGAAAAGGAAATAATGATGATGGGGTTTACTGTTTATGGTTTTTTTCTATCATTTCGGATTAGATTCTAGAACCAAACTGATTAGAGGGATATCTTTGATTAAGTTTTCTGTATGTTTTAAATATTATATCTAATCCAGATTATCTAAATTTTCCATCTCTGTAACTTTCAGCGCAAGTGAATCCAAATCCAAAATCCAAAACTTGGCTGCCATTGGCGGCTGGTCCTTGGACTTTTGGACTGGCTTTGTGGCCTTTCGATCCTGAAACGATCCGCTCCGGTGTGTGTCAAAGCATATTTGCCAATTGGCTGCGCTTTGTGCCCGGGAAAATCGGAAAATGCCAGCGGGCTGAAAATCAGAAGAGCAGACAGAGTTTGGGTATAAAATCACATAGATAGATAGAGGCGGCCGGATGGGGGCACAATTAAAACTCCATTACAGCACTCTTGTCCTGCTACCGATTTTTGTTTGGCCCCGGGGTGTCGGTTTCGTTCCGCGTGCCTCTCGTTCCGTGTCCTTCCCCTCTTTCCCGCCCCTACACACATCTCTCTTTATTTTGCACATTTTCCCGAGTTTTCCGATTTTGCCATTTCCCTTTCCGACTTTTCCCCATTGCTGGCCACAACAAACGCTTCAATCAATGGACAATGGAGGAACCTGAACCGAAAACCCCAAAACATTTGCACCTCCCCACGGCCCGCTGTTGTTTTTTTCTGTTTGTATTTCTTTTTTTTTTAGCCCACCCACAATGACAACGTTAATTTTCACTCACCCAAAAACCAAATGGATCTTTGATTTGGTGCATTTTTCCTTTATTTTTTGCGAGGCTGATTGTTTTTGTTCAGGGATTTTTCCGAGAGGCTTGGAAAGTAACTAACGAAAGGGCTTAATTCAACGGATTTTGGGGGTGGTAAAAGTGATTGTTATACATGGAAAATCGGTAAATTGAAAATTGAAAACTGCAATGGGTATTATTCAGGCAATGTTTTTTTAAAGAATTTCAAAAATTGAAAGCCTTTTAATAATATTTCTACAGCAATATCAACTAAAGTTGATTAGAAAATTTGATTAAAATCAAAATTAAAGACTTATCCCTATTTAAGGCACTCTAAGATTTATATTCATAACACATTTTGGGCTCATTAATTAGTTTAAATCAACACTTGTATTGAGTGTTCTCAAATGGAAAACTTAATGTGGGCAAATTATTAGGCAATCCAAACAAATCCATTGGAGTGCAAAATGAAATTAGCTTTAGCCGAAATTCCTTGAATTTAATTGAACAAACTTTGTCTCGACTAATTCGATAATTGATCCGAATTAATTGCAAACTTTTTGCATACTTCATTCGAAATTCGGCCACCACCCCCCCATCCCCACCAAAAAAAAACCATTATGGACTGGCATTGGCCATGGCCGTGGCAAATTAAAAGCCGCATCGTTAACCGCAGGCATTATTTGATAGAAATTCTCAACGGAGCTGGCTGGAGGAGAAAGTATCTGAAATTGGCATTTGACTTGTTACAAAAGTTTTGTTTAATGTTTGATTATTCAAATTAAAACCACTTTCGTTTCTTAAAGTTTAGTTTCTCGTAGCTATATCTAATATATATATCTGTATATATATGAGTAACCAAAAATGATATCCTAAAGCAATTAGTTTATTTGGCATTCAGCATTTCGCACTTTCATTTGTCAAAGTCAAAGCCAAAAGAGAGGCATTGTTTCTGGGGCATTTTTCATCGATTTTTGCTTAATTTCATTAGGGACGAGAAGGACGAGAAGGAAATTGTGTGTTGGGCAATTTGACACATTTCATGGCCCGCTGGCATAAGTAATGCCTTTCTCAACTGGGTAAGCGAGGAAAATGCATTTAAGAAATTCTGACAGCCTAGACAAGAGTTCACATAAATACCTACCTTTAAGCGTGTATGCTAAAGCACTTGGAAAAATTCTTAAAACATTATCAAAGTATGTAACTAATGCTATATACTTTTTTAAATGGATTTCTGGACAGATAAGGAAAATATTCAGAAAAGTATAAAACAGGTAAAAAAATTGTTAAAAAACTTAAAATAAATCTTGGGTTTCTTTAAATAATAGTTATAAGTATATCTAATATATAATTATAAATAATATTAGATAAATTCCTCTTAGTTTTAAGCTTAAAGTTTCCTTTCCATTAAAGTCCCAAGTGTTATCTTTTTTCTTTTAGATTTTCCTAAATGTTTCACAGATTTTCCACCAAGAGCTTGTCTTGAATTTCAATTTGCATCTAAGCCAAATGCAGTTAAACTAAGCATGTTTCTTTGATATATATATAAGATATATATACATATATATATAGTATATAGTATACAGTAGTTCTTGGCTTAAAAAAAAAAAAGGTCGGAAAACAGGGGCTCCGGCCGTGCCATTTTCAAGGCAAGACTGCTTATCATAAATGACAAATCTAGAAGTGAATGCGAATGCTAAACGACCAACAACTAAATGGGCCAAAAGAGCCAGCAAAATGTGGGAATGGCTGGCGTTCCAATTTTCCTGCATTTGGTGTAAATGTAAATGTAAACGATATAATCGCCTCGTCTCCATCTCTCCCTTTGCTAGATGGTGTTGGTCTTGGGGTCTTTGGTAAAATTACCACCCAAAATGGCAAAAAACACCGAGAACTGTAGTAAGCCCGAAAACTTGTTTTTAGAAGGAAACAGGGCGGTTGTTCTTGAAGTCTTTTCTAATAGCTGTATAGCTACTAATCGAAGGTTTACTCACACCGGAAAGTAACTATTTGTTGGGCTTAACTAAAACTGGCAATCAAGTTTTGGGCTACAAAATGGGGTTTAAGTTAGTCTCTTAAAATGTTTAACAGAAACCAGTAAACCTTTCAGTCTTACTCACTCAACATTCGGTTTGCCTTTTAACATTTCAAATTTAAATTTCGAATTTTTGTAGAAATTTATTTTTGGTGATGTCGCGTTACCAGTACGCCGATCACTGCTTGGAGGCCTTCAATGTCTTTCATCGACCTCTTGAACTCGACGAGGTGGCTGGCTATGTGGCCGAAATGGAGGCCAAGTCCGTTGATCAGGTGAGATTGGCTGTGGATAACACGCTGACTGCTGGCTGGTTGCATGGATTTCTGACCATGGAGGATGGCATGTATACGCTAAGCTGCGGCTATTGGGATGAAGAGCATCCAGCTACAGGCAAGAAAGGGACACGCCATTTAAAGAAATCAATCCTAAGGAGTACTCTGTAGGCCTTGTATTACCATTTTTGAGACTAGGAGAAGCAGGACTCTGAAATCGGGATGCCATTATGGTTTAACTTTTCTTTAAAACCTTAGATTGAGTGGCTAACCACTAATGAGTACTCAAATAAACCTTAAGGTGGTCTTAAATTGTTTCTTTCCCTTTAAGTGTCAATCAAAAGACGACGTGATTTCCTTCAGCATCTGGTCTTTATTTGCCCCGTGTCACAAGATTTCCTGCCTGCTCCTGGATGACAATTGTCCGACATGCTGGCCGTGTTTGTTGGCCATCGGGGAACTGAGTGGCCAACGGTTCCGGGTTAAGTGACCGCATTGGGACCCATTTGGTGACCCAGTTCGTATTGATTTCAGCTCTGGAAACTACTATTGCTTTCCTCTACATCCTTCTCCGCCTCCTTCTCCTCCTCATCATCATCATCATGTCCGCAGTGTGAACAAAGCACAAACCGTTGGCTTTTATTGTTTGCCAGCCGACGGCCGGAGAATTCCCCAAAGTCAGGCGACGGAGTTCTCCCATCGAGATGGAGTCTCCGATAAGCTCGCACCTATGCAGCCCCAAATTGGGCTGTCAGCTGTCTGTAATTGTGTGATTCTGAAAGCACTGAAAGAAAAGTCGTTTGAAAAATGGTAACTCAAGAAAGAACAAAAGTTTCTTTTACATTCTTTGATGTTCTTACCATATTATTGGAATTTTGTAAACAAATATTTTAACTTTGTTTTTTTAAACTTAAACTTGCTTTCCCATTTTTCTGTTAGTGTTCGAAAGTGTGTGCTTGTGTTGCGGTTAAATAGGAACTGCGCCAACTTATAACGCAGCCAACTTCCACTTCCGTTTCCGCCGCCTGCCCAGACGAAGGACATTCAAGACCACAGTCAACCCAGCCCCGTTTTCACCACCCTGACAAAAAAAACCTTCTTTCCAGTTCACCCTCTGCCCTTTCTGTCGTTCCCTTTTCTCTGGCTGTTCTGCCCTTTGGCATTCGCCGAAACTATTAAATCACATTTTACGAGCGTTAAGTGCACAATTAAAAGCATTTCGTTAATGTGGAAAATGTGGCGCTGTCTTGGCTCGGACTTTCCCAAAAATCCACCTCCACAATTTTCCATTTTCCCTTTCCGCATTCTCCCATTCTGTGATGTAATTAAATTTTCAGCTGGCAGGCCGCGCATTGCTTTGCGTTTCACCTTGGGGCCACTTTTTCTGAAGCCACCTTACAGTTGGCATAACATTGGATTTTCGGGGCGGCTATCCATAAGAAGTACCTGGCCATTATCCTGGGACTCCTATCTGTGTGTGTGTGTCCTTGTTGCAAGGAAAACAAACTAAATCGATTATGGTTTGATGTAAATTTCATTTTCGCGCTAGCGGCCATTACAGAGGAAGTTGTTTTGGACGCCAGAAACTCAAAGATTGTTCTTTAAGCTAAGCTTAAACTTCAAATCTGTTGATTGGGTTTAAGTAACGACTAAATTGGTAAGAAAAGTGTTGCTACAGGACAAATTAGGGTTTACTTGATTTATCAGAAATTCAATTTAGGCCAGTGGAAACGGAGCCAGAAAGCAGTTTAAGGAAATACGTTAAGCTAAGACTGTATAAACTTTAAGTTTTGTTTTAATTTTTTGATTTATTTGTTTCCATAAACAACTTGATTTCTCCCAAACTCTAGATTAAGTTCTTGATAATCAAAAAAGACCAAGTACAGCTTCCGTTGACTATTTCCTTTCCGCCATCCCCTCTTTGAGGTCACCAACCCCCCTCTGGATTTTGTACATTGTCTTCATTAAGAGTAAAACGCAAACTAAGTAAGTAATATGAGTCTTAGTAGGCGTGTAAAGTGCACACTTGATGTAGGGTTTGGGTGGGTGATGGAATGCATATGTCACTCACACCCTGCATCATCGCTGCCACCCTCTTTCTTACCCACCGTCTCACGCATTCGCCTAAGTGCGGAAGCATGTTCAAGTGTGTTGCAAAATGGAAAGCAATGTGTTACTTTATTTTTTCTCTCCGATTTTTTATTTTACTTTTTTTTTCCCGGTTTTTTTTTTTTTCTATTTTCAGATTTGCTTTCTTTGCTCATCATTCGCGATGACGTCATGCCCGCTTAGCTGTGGGCGTGGCCAATTCGCGGGCGGCTGACATTTGACGGTACAAAGTTGCAATGGTCCCTTGCTATCTGAGAAAATAGGGGAAAAAGGGAAGGGAGAAAGAGTAACAAGGTGAAGGCAAGCTAAGGAGGAAAAGGACAGCCACTGGAATTCGACATTAAGAGGGGTTGGATTAAGAAGTATCTTAAGAAGTTTTCGTTTTTAAGGAAGTAAATACTGATTTCCGGTCAGTATTTTGTTCATAACAATGGAAATAGTTTAAGGATCATGGATTCTCATGCCTTGCCGAGTTCGTAATTAAATTTCTGTTAAAATTGCATTCACACCTAAAAATGTAAGATTTTTAACATTTTTCATAGAAAATGATGATCAAAAATACAAAATTTGGTTTATCTTGATTTCCACCTTTTGAGAAATTTGAAATTTGTTAAAAATTGTTTTTTGGAAAACCATCTGGATATGAGCACAGATCGAAAGATGAGGTCGTAAACTAATCAAATCAGTAAGTAGTTTTACTGTAAGATAATTTCTAGTCAAGTTGAGAAAGAGAAACCCAATGAAGATGTCCGATTTTTGTCAAAAACTCAATTTTTAGCCATAAAATAATCCGAATTTTGCTTATAACATTGGAAATAATGGCACGAATATAGAATGTTATATATCGTTAAAATCGTAATTAAATTTGTGATAAAACTGCATTCTCACCTAAAAATGTAAGATTTTAACGATTTTTCACAGAAAATGATGATGTAAACCCTAAAAAAAAAAGAAAAATTTCACTAAAAATTGATTTTTCATATATCAAAACAAAACTCACAGGGAAGTAAGTTTCGGTTGTTAGCTTTTCAAAACTCTGTTTCTTTTACCTTTGCGACCTTTTTCGACTGAGTTACAGCTTAAAAACCTGAAAAAATATTTCCATTTTGGTCAAATCTTGACGTTTCGAATTTTCTTATTTCAGGAATAAAAAGATCTTTATTATTCTCACAACTATGGAAGTTATAGACCAAACATAGAATGTCATATCTAGTTCAAATCGTCTTTAAATTTCTGATAAAACTGCATTCTCACCTAAAAATGTAAAATTTTTGACATTTTTCACAAAAATGAGGGGTAACCCCTTATAGAAAATGCTAAAAATGGTTACTCCCATTTCTCTCCTCAAGGCGACTATATTATGTCCATAACTTAGCCAATAATGGTCCAAATATGGAAAGTCATACCTCGTTGAGTTTGTTTTTTAAATCCCAGTCAATCTGTAGTCCTACCTAAAAATGTAAATTTTGTGTGAAAAACCCAAAATGTGGCCAAAAAATCAATTTTTCAAAAAATTCCAAAAAGTGATTTGGGTAAAAAGGCTTTAGTTTAGCTCCATTTCTAGCCAAGTTATTATGAAAAAACGAACATAAAATATACAATTTTCAGTATAAATTAAGATTCTCACCCGTCTATGCCATTAACTTTCGATCCGCCCCTCGCTGCAGCTGCAACGGAGGCGTATATAGCTTAAAGATCCTTATTCCTCGACTTCTGTTCGCTTTCCACTCTTCTTCTTTTTTTTTGTGCAAATATGCCAGAGCTTCCGGCACTGTCCTGATGGCCTGCTGTGTCCTTTGATATTCGGGGATGGGATGAGGGATCTGGATAAGCGAAGGCGGAGGACGCTTTAAAGGCGAAACATTTAGTTTGTTGCATGTTTGGACATGTTGCTCGCTGTTCGCTGTTCGCTGTACGTGACATTTTGCGGAAATGGAAATGGAGCCCAGCTAGAAGGCAACAACAACAACGAAAAAGGACAAGGGCGGCAGGATAAAGCTTCAGAGATGAAGATGCCAGCGATTTCTTATAATTTGCATTGAAGTTTTTGATTGCCACAAAGAGAGCAGCAAAGCGGAAAGAGACGAGGACAAAATGCATGCCCCAAAGGAAATCGACAAAAAAAAAAAACAACATTGCGGAAAACAAAGCTTTCAAATCAAAAGGGACACAAACGGCAAGGATATGACATTTTGCATGCATTTTAAACTAGATTTTGGTTGCTCAAAAATCAAACTTAATACTACATTTCTGTTAGGAACTTCAAGTTTAGTTCTTGGAACAACTTTCTGCTATAAAATTCCATTAACAAAATAATTGTGCAAAAAGTTTCTAGAACTAATTTCAAGGTCTTCTCCCCCCCCCTAACATGCCTTGCTTATACAGTATAGCCACAGAATAAAAGCAAATTAAAGTTTGCCCTTGCCGGACATCGTCAAAAGGTAAGTTTATGTGCAATCACGGATTGCCATAAACCGTCTAAGTAATGAAGGAGTCACAGGATGATTTTAATCGAAGGGATCAGGCGGCACACGACCCAACACAAAGCGTATCCAATTCGTTTTTCTGGCCAGTGTCAGTGTTGCCAAAATATAGATAACTAGCCAAAAGAGATTCTGTACTGAGGTTTCTAAAAATGTAAACAAGGCTGGAAATAAAAATCCTAAAAAAATTTGAAAAATCCTATGAAAATAATGAGTTTTTTCCACACAATTTTTATCTTGATTTTGAGCGTTAAAAACTCAGTAAATCAATAACCCATTATAACAATGGGAAAAATGTATGGTATGTATGGATTGTCATATCTCAATGAGCTCCTAATTCAATTTCCAGGAAAACTTAACTTAAACTCTTTAAGTTTTGACTATAGATAAGGACATATTGGTCCGATTGTGGAAAGTCATACATCTTTGAGTTTTTAATTAAATTTCTCTTAAACTTCTATTCACACTTTAAAAAGTCAGATTTTTGGAATTTTTCACAAAAAAGATGATGTTGCCCCTTAAAAAAAATGCGGAATTGGTTTTATATAGATTTCCCCCCACAAAATGAGAGTATTCTTCCCATAACTAAGCCAATATTGGTCCGAATATGGAATTCAATACCTCGTTGAGCTTGTTTTCGAATTCCTAACATAACTGCATTCAAAGTTGAAAATGTAGAATTTTTGACATTTTCTGGGAAAAATGATGATGTTACCCCTT